TCTTAGGTAGCCTCTCACATTATGTAGTACAAATGTTTCATCTCTCAATCGGACCTCTCAGTCACCTCCTGTGCTATCGGGCAACATGCGAGGAGGAGTGTTAGACTTAAACCAACATCGTCAATCTAAGTTATTCAAATTTAATTAATATAATGTAAGAATATCTCTACTCATTCTCAATTAATTTTAAATTGAATGCTTTTAACAGTTTTGACACATTATTGTGGAGGATAGGGTCAGCTTTTATAAAGGAAACAAAAGAAACTCATTTGTCACCCTCAAAAAAGAGAGAAAATAAAAAGATGGTCGCACTCTCACTCTCCACACTTGCAAGGTTGAGCAAACTCTTGCCATCATTAACTGACTCCACAAGCTCTTCCACTTCACAGCCACACTCACTATCCCTTCTCTACTACAGAATTTCACTCCTCTTCCAGCATGCCCATGAAATACCCATTTTCTCATGGTGTCTTATCTCCACCTCCGGGCTCATTTTCACCTTCTTCTGGCTCCTCTCACAAGCTTTCCGGCGGTGGCAATTAAATGATGGTTCACAATTGCTTTATTATTGTATTGTCCTTGCATATAAATTTGTGCCATGCATGATCTCCTGCTCTGGGGAGCTAAGGGCTGAAAGAGCACTTTTATAAAATTTTATATTCAATATTGGTCTTATTTGATAAATCTCATTGGATAGATTCCAAAAATATAAATTTTATTAAAAATAAATGTGTATAATAAAAGTTATGAATTTTTAAGTTTTGAAACAACAAAATAAAAGTAGTGAATTATGAGAAGTTATCTAGTGAGCCAAGGTTCTCTCCTTGCAGCTTCGTACTTGCACTCGTCCTTGCAGGCCTTCGGGTCTACTTTTAGGCCCAATTTTAATAATCTGAACCGTTCATATTTTATGATTTATTCAGTATATCATACCTGCAAAAAATCAAGTTGATCGGATATCAGAAAGCATATGTTCGGAAAACTGTCTATTAAATTCTTTAAAAAATAGTTTTTAGTTCAATTTTTCGAACACATACTTTTTGATATCCGATCAACTTGATTTTTTACAGTTATGATATACTGAATAAATCATAAAATATGAACGGTTCGGATTATCAAAATTGAGCCTAAAAATAGACCTAAAGGCCTGCAAGGACGGGCGCAAGTACAAGAGGTGCAAGGAGAGGATCCTCATTCTTATCTAGTACTCTTGAGGTATGGTCATGTGGTGTCCAGAAGAGTTGTTATTGGTAAAGATGATGGAACCAACAATTTTGTGTTGGAGTATAGGGCATAATGCTTGATAATTAGTGGATAATATTGCCATAAGGTGCACAAAACACCTAATAATTTTTCTTAGTATTTAATGAATTAACATTTTTTCAATTTTTCCTTTTTTATAGAGGTAAAATAGTCATACAAATAAATAAAAAAATTAAAATAGAATGTTATTGGTTAAAAATAATGAAACAGGACTTAACGGGATACCAATCTACCTAAAAAATTAATTATTTTAACTGATTAATTATACTATAAAAATATAATTATTTAGTTTGTAAAGAATATCAAATTTTTATTATTACGAAAGAATAAAAATTATATAAAGTAAAAACTTTTTATAAATAAATAATTCAATTAATTAAAAAATTATGATTGAATCATAAAAACATTTACTATAAAGAAATTATTAGAGGCTGCTCCCTCTGTTGGCCACTTTGGTTATATTTATAAGTCTGGTTATATTTGTCCCTTTGATTATCATTTTTTGGGCCAGGATTCTTAGGTCCGGATCACGACTGGAGGATGGTGTCTGCACCGTATAATTTGTCACGAATATTTATTTTATAAGATTATATATGTATATCACCTATTAAAAAAATAAAATCAATTCGGCAATTATAATTAGTTTAATTTATTGTATTTGTCATAAAAAAAATGAATGATTTATTTATAAAACTATAATTGTCGCCTTTTTATTTGAGACAAATGTAATAAATTGAATATGTTATGCTTATTGAATTAATTTAATTTTTTTAATCAATAATATATACAATGAGCCTTATAAAATGAATAATTTGAATTATTAAAACATAATCCATAACGGGCCTCATGATACTATATAACAGCCTCTAATATGAATCATGAATTAGAGGGTGTTGGAATATTTGGTTTTATAAACTTATTTTGGGCCAGCTTTGAATCTAAATTTAAGTGGGACCCACATGTCTTTTCAGGTGTGTCCAAGCAGTGATATGTCTCTTGCCACATGGCAAGTCACACGACAAAGACAGTTCGTCAAAACTATTTATTAGTAAATGAGAAGTTGATATCGTTTTCAGTTTTGTGAAATGGGAAATTGAAGAGTCAAATGTGAGTTACCTTATTTTGGTTGTCCCACACAGAAACAATAAGAGAGCTTGTATAAGTATATAAGCTCTAGGTTGACATATTTGGGATGTGTCCCAAGGAGCACCCCAAGTTTTGTAAGGAAAGGAATTATGGACAAAGTGAGCTTGATCCAAATCCACCACGCACGCTGTCTTCCGTCCGTCCATCCTGCCGAGTTAGGTGGGCGCGTGGTGTGGGTTATGGGTCGAGTCCTAACTTTAATTTTTTGGATAAAATTCATTTGGATTAATTCAAATTTTTGCTCCAAAATTCGAATTTGAATTTTTGCTTCCTAGAACTATGCCTCTCTGGTTGCCTCTCTTCATTTTCCAGTGATTCCAAATTTCACACTTGTTCGAAGGGTTTTCTGTCCTTTCAAATAGACACCTCTTGGCCTATAAATACAAGGTCCTCCAGCAGATTAAATCATTCATTTCCTTCCCCTTTTTCTTCCTTTCTTGCATTTGTTCTTCATACTAGTTCTTTGATGTTTTAGAGAGTTACATAACTTATGTTTTGATTCACAAGACAAATTGTTTGTAGTGCTACTACAATCTGTGAGAGTGATTATTGTATTCTGGGAGATAGATGTCGATAATTCGTGAGTACCTGTGCGGCGACGAATCTGTTTTAAAGAGAGAGTATCATACACTCGACTTGATCTTAATTTTGTTGTTCTAAACTTTCTGGTACAAGAACTTCATGGAAGCAATTTATTTATTTTGTTTCAATTTTTATTTTTTTACACAGAAGATTGTTTCAACAGAGGAAAGCCTAACTAATTTTTGGATTCTCAAATGAGAAAGTGTAGCATGTTACGGGATCACTAATGGAAAAGTGTTGAAAGGACCAAAATCACATTAGGTAATTTTGGTTATTTTTAAAAATTAGGAAGATAAATGAGATATTTTGAATGATTTAAATAACTATATTTTTTGAATTTTTACAAAACAATGTGCAGAAAAATTGAGAAATGATGTGACTTAAATAACTGCATTTATTTAAATAAGTACACTTTTATACGTTATATGCCAAATACTCTCAAAATATAAAAAGACTAAATTATGAGGATGTTTTATCTTGGATGTTGTTATATCTTATATTTTATCTTATATATTAGTTGACACATTATTGTCAAGGGTAACGTCATCTATAAAAATATGTTTGGAGCCACAAAATTTGTGTAGTGTAAATGCAAAATTACACTCTGTAATTATGAGGGTGTTTTATCTTGAATACACTCTGTTAGGGCTGGGCAACAAACCCACCCGCCCGCACAAACCGCCCGACCCTACCCTACCCGCAGTGCTTTGGGCGGTTTCAATGTAGGTAGGCGGGCGGGTGCGGGTCAAGAAATTAGCAAAAGATCGGGTTCGGGTCGAACCCGACCCGCCCGCAACCCGCATCTTTTTTTTTTTTTTTACTAATGGAAAAGTGTTGAAAGGACCAAAATCACATTAGGTAATTTTGGTTATTTTTAAAAATTAGGAAGATAAATGAGATATTTGGAATGATTTAAATAAATATATTTTTTGAATTTTTACAAAAAAATGTGTGAAAAAACAGAGACGTGATGTAACTTAAATAATTACATTTATCTAAATAAGTACACTTTTATAAGTTATATGCCAAATACCCTCAAAATGTAAAAAGACTAAATTATGAGGATGTTTTATCTTGGATGTCGTTATATCTTATATTTTATCTTGTATATTATTTGACACATTATTGTGGAGTGTAAGGTCATCTATAAAAAAAAGTTTGGAGCCACAAAATTTGTGTGGTGCAAATGCAAAATTCCACTCGGTTTAAATTGTGAGATGAGAAAAAAAAATAATTGTAATTTCTCAATTAGGTAAGAAAAGAAAGGAATTGATTATGATTTCTCACTATTGTGTTTTAATAAAGAAAAGAGGAGAGAATATTATTTCTTATCTATCTTGTTTGGATAGAGTAAATAAGAAAAAAAAATTATTTCATTTTATCAAAATAAGCTTCCATATTATTGAACTATTTTTTTAACTTCTTCCACCATAGGGTAATTTTGGAATTTAATTTTTTTTTTGTTTGTTAAACCTATTTATTTTTTGCCAAATTCTTATCACACTGCTGGAAAATACACATTTAGCGGCGTTTAAAAAATGCCACTATAGGTATAAAAAAACGTCGCTAATTCTTTTTGTGACGTTTAGTACCAAACGCCAACAACATAGCCGTTGCTATAGCTTTATGGCATTTGGAAAACGTCGCTGTATTAGTATAGGCGGCGTTTTTAAAAACGCCACCAAATGCCCTGCCCTAACAATACTGTGACGTCAGTATGATTTTAGCGACGTTTTTAAATTTTTTTTTTAATTTGAAAAATTCCAATCGTTAGTATGATAGTGGTGTTTTTAGAAACGCCGTCTTATCTTTTTTTTTTTTTTTGAAATTGTGCTAATTTTATGTGATTGAACTAAAAGAACACCTACAATAAAACTGAATAGCACTAATATGAAATAATAACTTCCATCCAAATAGCAAATACAACATTTATTCACTTTCCCATTCAATTTAATATCCAATCACCATTACTCACAAAATAACATATCCAAAAATTGAATTCTCAATTCTCAATCAAAAAATTATTATCTTGTGTACAAAGCCACAAAATAACATTACCCTCTTCTCTCTCTCACCACTCCCCCATTTAACACAAAAAATAAGAAGAAAGTGAACCAAAACACCCAAACCCCCAGTCAGACCAGAGGAAAAAAAAGAAAAAAAAAGAAGATAAATAAAAATCCAAAGGAAAGCCCCATCCATTCTTCAACTGACTTAGCAAGCGCTCTCATGTCATAATTTGTATGTGCATAGGATACCAACTTCAACCGCACAACGTACGCAAAGAGCATTAATGTGACGCTAGATAGAACAGCAGAATCATACCTGCAGGATTTCAAACCACAGCCATGAACTCTTCAATGGCATCACATGAATTTGCCAGTTTTCTGGCTTGCTACAAACAATATATATTTTCTATTATTTGTAATTTCTAATTTCTCATTATTTGTTGCACTCCCCTAGCACATCACAAATCTATTGGACAATAAAAGCCCAACAATCTATGCCCAAGATTTGTACCAAAAACCATCAATCCATCTGAGATGCCAAGACATTAACCAAAAAGGCTTGCATGAAGCCATTAAATCAAGCACAGCTCACGGTTAAAGCTTCTATCAAAATTCTGTTATATATTGATTGTTTGCAAATTAGGAAGGAATGCTCATTCTTGCATTAATTACATAAATCATGCAATCTTTTGAGGAAAATGATATCCTTACAAAATTTTCAACAAGAATGATATGGTAGCATTTTGGAAAATATGTCACTTTGATGGGTCTTTTGTTTAAAATGATAAAATTAAGACTTACCATATCATTCTATATTAATTTTACATGCAAAATTTCGGTTTGCATATCACTACTCATCTATTTAAGTCAAACAAATAACAAAGTTCAATTAGAATTTACTGACGAACATTCTTGGGTGACAGTGACGAAAGACAGAGAATAGCATCGACCCGATTGCACAGCGTCAATCAAAGTTTAATGCAACAAATTGCTAAGTGTTGTTTGGTTTTGTATTTTGATGCTAGAAATAAAACAAAATACCAAATGAAAATTTACAAGAAAGTAAGTGACAAACTAACCTGAGGATCACAAAAACTGGAAACAAAACTGTGGCTGTCGTTATTAATATGTGAAGGTTGACAACCACCTGCAATATTTTGATTAGAAGTGACCAACTCTAGAGTTCAAGGGCCTAAAACATCAATTCATAATCTCCAGTTATTATGGTAAGTTTACGAGCAACAACCAAAGAAACTCTGCGCATTTATGCAAAGTAGTCAATGCCGACGATGTTCTATCACTACAAGTCAGATTTCCATAATAATGAGAAAAGCTACAAAACAAATGCATTAATTAAAAAAACTTAGTGAAATATCGAGTACATTTCAGGATAATGAAAGGATTGGTCATCTAATTGTATAACTTCCAACAGAGAGCTTTCAGAGTTTGTAATCAATAAAAATCAAATAAAAGTTCCTAGACATGTCTACTCCCAACATTCAAAATCTAATAGTCATTTCCATAATTACTATTCCAATGCGAAGTATTATACTTTTAGTCTTATTCCATGAGGAAAACATGACAACAAAACAAAATGGAAAATAATGAAACATGACAGCAGTAGGGAGTGGGGCACTTGTCTGTGGCACCTACATGTCAGGTAGCACAACAATTTCATGCATCTTACATGAAAATCTCAAATAAGTTTTCGAAAGTGAAAAAGGGAGCAAGCACCAAAGCCATGTACTAGGAAAACAACAGGCCAAAGAAAAAAGAAAGAAAAATAATATATTCAAAAAATATGGACTTGCTATTCAACCTTATTTATGCTACCATGATTCAATATAAACACTTCTATATTTTCCAGAGGCTAAGCTCTCATATAACAAGCCAGGTTTGGCAACAGACATTATAATATGAGTCATATGACTAAGATTAATTATCCCAATTAAAGACCAACTCGTGGAGAATTTTATTCCAATATTTTGTCAAGTTCCATACATTTTACAGAACAAGCATTGCTTTTTGATTAATCTAAATAACCATTCTAGTTGACTAAACAGAACCAAACAAAAAAACAAAGTACAACCAGTTTAACCCCCCTTAGATGGGGGTCTAGGAGGGATAAATTGAGTATAGACCTAACTTTTGGCATTCTTATATACAAAAAAACAAAGTAAACCCAATTTAAAAACTGCTTGTCTTTCCATGATTAAGCTCTCAAAGCAATTATAATAATTAAGTACACTTAGAAGCAGTATACCAAGTTGAAACCACAATGCCATCTAATGAAGCAAAACTATACGAGGAAGTCTAGAAACAAATATAAAGAACAAGTTTCAAAGTTCTGGGCAGAGTTAGGCAGAGTTAATTCGATGTTTCAGTAACTGAGAAACAAAACAACATAAGAAAATTTGAAGCACCTAAAAAAATAAGATCTAAGACCACATGTTATCACAATCACTACTCTTTACCTCCTTAAACTAACTGCTACCATTTCAAGCAGTTCAATATGACTTTAACTTCATGAACTGCATTACAAAATTATAATTCAATATGACTATAACTTTCTGAACTAAACTACATTCATCCCTACATTATCTTTCACTCTTACCAATTTACCTTGTTGCACTCAAAAATATCCAATCTTGAAGCCTTCAAACAACATAAGAAAATTTAAAGCACCTAAAAAAATAATATCTAAGACCAAATGTTATCACAATCACTACTCTTTACCTCCTTAAACTAACTGCTACCAGTTCAAGCAGTTCAATATGACTTTAACTTCATGAACTGCATTACAAAATTATAATTCAATATGACTATAACTTTCTGAACTAAACTACATTCATCCCTACATTATCTTTCACTCTTACCAATTTACCTTGTTGCACTCAAAAATATCCAATCTTGAAGCCTTCAATGAATCCCAAAAACCCCATATCTCACTATATGTTTGTATAAATGTCAAGGGAGAAAATCACAAAAGATGTATATTTCGGTCATCCCGATTGCACAATTTGCACAATTTGCACAAAATGGTTTTATTTCACCATCCATGCCATTCAGTCACATGTTACTCTAAACACTGTTTGGAAGCCGAAGAAAAAATAGTTAAAGGAACAAAAACAAATTACTATCAAATTAATTGATACTCTGTTTAAGAACTTGGCTATCTGTTCACACGTTAAGGATCCAATCCAACCTTCCCCTTTCCTGTTATATGAAGTGGAAGTATGGAGAAGAATTTTCACCTGAACAACATAAACCACGGCATTAATTGTGTAGAAACTCGGCCTGAGTCCATCAGTAGATACAACACGTGCCTGTCAATATTGATGTCAGCAATGAAATTAGACCAAATGGTCATATGCCAGTCAACAGATGCAAGTATTAGCATAATCAAGCACAACCTGATAGTATATCTCTGCCCAGAACAAAACTAAGAGTGCGTATGTTGTGAAGAATGCAAGGCTCAGAAAATAAAGACTATCACTCGAACTGTCACATTGTAAACAATCCACACTCAATACCAAGGTAGTAACTAGGAGGCATAAATAAATAACTTCATAGCATGAATTAAAGAAGGGATACAAAATACACACCCCCATTCACCACGAAATTGAGAAAATGGAAGACCTTCTGAGTCATCCAACCATACTCGGGTACTCTTAATTGTATCTGAACCAATTGTACCTAATCATAATCAATTTCTGGAAAATTAAAAACCTTATTCGTTGCCACAAAATTTCTCAAACATTGATTCCAGTACTTGTACTTATATTTACTTGCTCTAAAAGTACATAAAGATTATTTGACATTTCCATTTTTCACATACGGGATAGGAAAATTCATCCTATTAAACATCTTGTTCATTCCTAAAGATCAATATGAGCAAAAAATGTAAGGCTAACTAACTCATTGAAACATAGAAGAAGAAAAAAATAAATAAATAAACAATTGCAGTTATGGTTCTTCATTTCCTCAGTAACCAAAATTATGCTAATTATTGCCTACCAGAGATTTTCTACTTGCAGACTCATCTTGGTATATCCATTAGAATAAAGAAACATCAACAAAATAACAAGATCTTAAAGTCTGAAGTTAATTAAACTAATTAGGCTTTTTAATTGAAGTATGAGTTTTCCATAGTTATCAAAACATAAACTTGGTAGTATTTATACGTTTCCTCATTTTCTCATCAAACAAATTTGAGTAAAATAAAATCCTAAACAATCAATTTGAAACCCTAGAAACCCTAATAGACATGAATCCACAATTCACGTTAAATTCATTTGAATACCAAAAAGAAAGCAATCACAACCAAAGTAAAGAACAACAATGCTACAAAATCCTCAAGAAAACTCAGATTATATAGGTGAAATTAGATGGCAAATCAATAAATCCACATTAAATCCATCACAACACAGAATCAAGAGCAATTTTCTCAAGAAAATTTCGAATGGCGTACTAGATCAATCAGAGTTCAGATCTGAGCTTCTGGAAATCACTGAATCTCTACAAATGAGGATCAAGTAAGAATGCCTTAAAACATTGATTTCATAGATGTAAAGAGAGAAAGAGAGAGAGAGAGAGAGACAGTGGAGCTCGCTACCTCGCCGGTGCAGATGGTGCTGGCGATGGAGCTTCGAAATCGTTTCGATGGAGCTTCAATCTAAATCTTCGATGGAGCTTAGAAATCGCTTTGATGGAGCTTCGATTTGAATCTTCGATGGAGCTTCGAAATCGCTTCAATCTGAATCTTCGTTGGAGCTTCGATCTAAATCTTCGATGAAGCTTAGAGAGGGTTGAGAGAGAGAGATATGTGCATATAAGGGTTGAGAGAGAAAGGGCTTAGATTCAAAATAAGGGTTTCAAACGAAGACGCGTATGGCTATCACATTTAGAGGCGTTGCTAAACGCCTCTAATTATAAAACGGTGTCGTTTTGTTTAAAAGAATATGCAACATTTATAAAACGGCGTTAAATATTAATAACAATGATGTTTAAAAAAATGTTAAAAAAACCCCACCATATCTCCGTTTTCCAGTAATGTCACTTTTGGTGAGAGGTCTTTTCTCACACCATCTTTTAAATATTTAATAATCTAAACAAGTGAAATTTTTTTTATTCTCACCATTTTTTTTTCCCTTTCACCAAACTCTTCCATCCAAATGGAATGTCAGTGGAATGGCAGAACTCACAATGATGTCAGTGGAATGGTAGAACTCACAATAAATATTTTTCATGAAAATTTCTCCTTCCTTCCTTGATTAGTGTGTAGTGTTTTCTTGTATGTATAATCTAACGGTGTAGAATCTTTCATGATCATTTTCATAATATTTTTTTCATGATACCTAACATTTATAATCCATTAATTAACTTTTATCGGTAATTTTTTGGATAATTTTTCTAAGCAATTTTTCAGATAATTTTCTATAAAAGGTCCAGAGAAGTTCATTAAACAATAAGAGATCATGGCCACTACCACCCCCACTTTCCACACTTGCAAGTTTGAGCAAACTAGAGCCACAATTAACAAACTCCACATGCTCTTCCACTTCACAGCCGTACTTGTTGGAAAATTTGGTTTATAAGACTTATTTGGGCCAACTTTGAGCCCAAAATTGAATGGGCCCCAAACATTTTTTGGGATAGGTCCAAAGAGATAATGTGTTCCTTGCCGCATGGTAAGTCACAAGGTGAAGACGGTTTGTCAAAACCATTTATGAGTGAATGGTAACTTGACGTCGTTTTCGGGTTCGTGGAATTGAACAAACTTCAAGAATTATATGTGGGTTTCGTCGTTTTGGACAGTATAAAAAACTGCCCAACAGTTACAGATCCGAAACTGATAGTTACAGATCCAAAACTGCCAACAGATCTGTTTAGTTCAAACAGTATCTCTTCAATTCAAATTTACACCTATTCACTTCTTGTATGTACCTGTTCGGGTCAGGTATTTTGCCTATAAATTGAAGGCTGTTCCAGGAGTCTTGGGCATCCAAAAAAACATCCAGAATATCATCTGTCCAATTCATTTCTTGCTTTGTTTGCATTATTCTTCATATTAGTTATTTAAAGAAAAATTCAAAGAGTAATAGAACACAAGCTTCTAGTTCGCCGGACAAATTTGTTTGGAGTGCTACTACATATTTGTGAAGATCATTGTATCCTGGGAGATAAACGCCACATAACCGTAAGCACCGTAGCGGGGCGAATCTGTCTTAAGGACAGAGTGTCACACACTCGACTTGGTCTTTAATTTTTCATTCGGTTCGATAAAATAAATTCTGTAAGTTATTTATTTTATTTTGTTTGATTTAGTTTCAATTTATTTTATTTGCATAGAAGATTGTTCCAAAAATCTTAAGATAGATTCGAATTATTCTGTTTACAGAATTTTTCGTTTATTTCCTTTCTTCTTTCTTTTTCTTACATAAATTATTTTCTGTGATTTTACAAAATAATATTCTGGTTGGAAAACAAATAGTAGTAATATACTGTTTAACAGATAGTAGTAATATACTGTCTATTTTCTTTGACAACTAGTAGTAATATACTAGTGTCATTAACAATTCAGAATATTTATTTTTGAAGTTTGTCAGAAATTAATTTTGGTTTTCTTAAATAATTTCTGAGTGTTCATTAATTAAAAAATAAATTCATTTTTTTTTTAATTATTGAAGTGTTACAGAAGTTTATTAATTTTTTGTGTGGAATTAATTTGGTTAAATAAAATTTTATTTTATTTTATTTCCAAATTAATTGAAAAAATAAAAGTTACATTCTTGTTTCTTTTATTTTTACAGAATTTAATTCTGTGAATTTGGATTAATTTTATGTGTAGTATAAATTCTAATTATAATTTTGTTTTATAATTTAGAATTCATGGCTTTTGAAACTAATGCCCAAACAAGTATTAGTGTGGTGGCTGCAATTGCACCAACTCTCTCTCCTGTGGTGACAGTACCGGTAAATCACGATGAGAAGCCAAAGAGGTTCTTAGGAACTGATTTTAAAAGATGACAACAGAAAATGTTGTTCTATCTTACAACTTTGAATCTGGCTCGTTTTCTTCGTGAGGATGCTCCTATTTTGAAAGAGGATAAAACCGACCGGCAGTGGTTGCTGCGGTTGATGCCCGGAAACATGCTGATTTCCTTTGTTTGAACTACATCTTAAACGGACTTGACAACACATTATACAACGTCTACAGTCCTATCAAGATAGCAAAGGAACTTTGGGAGTCTTTGGAGAAAAAATACAAAACGGAAGATACCGGCTTAAAGAAATTTGTGGTTGGCAAATTCCTAGACTTTGTAATGGTTGATTCTAAGACTGTGATCAACCAAGTTCAAGATCTCCAACTCATTTTGCATGACATTCACGCAAAAGGGATGTCTCTCAGCAAATCATTCCAAGTTGCAGCCTTAATTGAGAAATTACCATGAGGCTGGACGGAATTCAAAAACTACCTCAAACACAAATGCAAAGAAATGTCTTTAGAAGAATTAATTGTGCGTTTGAGGATTGAGGAGGACAACCGTAATTCTGAAAAGCGGTTGGTAAGCATCCTATGGAGTCTAAGGCAAATGTGGTGGAACATGCTTCAAAAGCAAAGAAACGAAAGTTTTCTGGAGAGAGTTCCTCACAAGGCTCTAAAAGGGGGGAAAATAAAAAGTACAAGTTTAATGGCAAATGTTACATCTGTGACAAAGAGGGACATCTGGCCAAAGATTGTCGTAGCAAATGCAAAAACAAAAGAAAAACAAGCAAGAAGCCTACTCAAGCCCATATGACCGAAGTGGACAATATTTCCAATGGTGTAGATGACATCAATCTTTCTGCAGTTGTTTCCGAGGCAAATCTTGTTGGAAATCCTAAAGAATGGTGGGTGGACACTGGTGTTACTCGCTACATTTGTGTTGACAAAAAGATATTCACATCTTATTCTACAGTGGACAATGGTGAACAACTTTTTATGAACAACTCCTCAACTTCCAAAGTTGAAGGACAAGGGAAGATTGTTCTAAAGATGACATCTGGAAAGGAACTCACTCTCAACAATGTGCTGCATGTACCGGACATTCGCAAGAATCTTGTTTCCGGATCTTTGTTGAGTAAGAATGGGTTTAGGCTAGTGTTTGAGAGTGATAAATTTGTACTTACTAAAAATGGGATGTATGTAGGAAAATGTTACATGTCTAATGGCCTTTTCAAGATGAATGTAATGACCGTTGTACCCTCAATTATTAATAAAGATACATCTTCTTCTCACTTGCTTGAGTCTTCAAATTTATAGCATGGTAGACTTGGACATGTTAATTATGGATCTTTGTGTAGATTAATTAATATGGAATGTTTACCTAAATTTGACATTGATTCAAATCATAAATGTGAAATTTGCGCTGAGACAAAATTATATAAAACTCCTTTTCATTCAATTGAAAGAAGTACGGAACCACTTGAATTAATTCACAGTGACATTTAAGATTTTAAATCAATTCAAACTAGAGGTGGGAAACAATATTTTATCACTTTTATAGATGACTATACTAGATATAGTTATGTTTATTTAATTCAATATCGAACGGAATGGGGGACTCGTTCCTCCCGGGGCGTTCGGGGACGTCTTCAGTTTCTGGCGACTCTGCTGGGGAATTATAGAACTTGACTCGAACTCATGATATTTTGTTTTAACTACACTTGTGTGTTTCTTTGCATTGCATTTGCATTGGTGCGCCTAGGACACCGTGTTTGCCATCTGCTATTCCTGAACGGTTTGTGTAGACACCCCATTTTTGACCGACCTTAAGACTTAGACGTCACCGATTGAGCACTCGGTGATGTTGCATATCGTGCTCGTTCAGAGGTTTCAGAGTCTCGGCTGCGAGCCTTGCCTCCGGACTTCCGGACTCTTTTGCGCTTTACCTCGGTTTGAGAACCAGGATCGGTTTTCTCTGTTTTCTCTTTCTGAAGGGAGGGAGAGGTCTCGTAGACCATCTCTCAGTGGCCGTAGGCTACGTTTTGTGGTCGTAGGCCATTTTTCCCGTTTGGAGCCCAGTTCCCGATTTTTCGGAGCTATTGGTCGTGTGCCTCTGTTCGGGACCGCTTAACCACCTCCGTTTGCTTCCGTTTTTGGCACACACCTTATTTCCTCCCTTTTGAGGGACACTGTGGTCCGAGAGACTAACTTCGTGGTCGGACACCACCTCCGGTGCCTAACCGCCCACTTTCGGGGCCCCGAACTGCATATTTTGGCTCCCGAACCTTTATTCTTCATTTTTGAGCTCCGACCTGAACTTGAGTTAGTCATATTTTGAGGTCATTTTCATGTTTGATTAAGGATCTTTTGCTGTTTGAGATCTCCTACTGCCACTTGCTTCTTTACCCCTCTTTTAGGCCTT